GCACCAATTTATGTTGCGATTCGACTCTCTTCCAGTTTAGTTCCACAACATAACTTCAGGGCTGCCACACCTGGAGGGGTAGAATTTAACGGGGGTCCAGGGGTGTCCCCCGCAAGGGGGCAAGGCCCCCACGCGATGAAATTGCTTAGGAAAATGGCTTGCTGTTGGGATCCAAGAACACATTTGTAACTGTCCAGCACACGCACTACAACCATGCCAATTATGAATTAATGGCCAACTGGACTAAAAAGCGCACAAAATTAAATAGTCGAGTGTCCCTCGGTGAGAACAAAATCGGTCGGATTGTCGGACAGGCGATCAAAAATCTGACGATTTCCGAAAAATCGGAGCAAGTTGCAGCCCTGTAACTTCACAGGACTGGGATTTATTCTGATTCATTACTACATGACTTCCTCTAATCTCTAATCATCAAGAAGCAAGGTAAAACCATAAAACAATCAAAACAAAACAAAGGGGCTAATGCTACGTGGACGATAACGTCACACAAACCTACACGTGATATTGTGTACAACTTCATGATGTAATCACGACACTCGTGTCAAGACAGACATCCGAGGAAACAGAAGCCAGTGAGGGCTGCGTCCCACTCGCTTGTGTGGATTCACAGGAAGTGTGAGTTACGAAGTCTGAAGAAGAGGTTGAACGGTCTCTGCTGGGATTACGACTACACCATAGCTCAGTGGTTAGAGCATCGCTGGCTACAAGCGAGGGTCCCTGGTTCGAGTCCTGTTGGTGACAGTGAATTTTTCTTCAGACTTTTCCCGTTTGTCTCTTTCCCTCAAACCAGTTAATATTTTATGACTTGGGGCTCCCCGCGTGCTAGTTTGTACGTGAAGTGTGTGGGTTACAGTGAGGGCTGCGTCCCACCTGCCTGTGTGGATTCACAGGAAGTGTGAGTTACGAAGTCTGAAGAAAATGTTGAACGGCGTCTGCTGGGATGACGACTACACCATAGCTCAGTGGTTAGAGCATCGCTGGCTAGAAGCGAGGGTCCCTGGTTCGAGTCCTGGTGGTGACAGTCAATTTTTTCTTCAGACTTTTCCCGTTTGTCTCTTTCCCTCAAACCAGTTAATAATAATAGGCCACCCAGAATTAATTCGTTGTTTCGGGTCACTTCACTCATCCGTACCAGGGTCGGTCGGGTTTATTTTTGATGTCATTTTATTTTTTATTTTGGTTACTGCGGTGTGCATGCATGATTATGCACATCCAACAGCTTTTGTCCATCAAGCCAGTTGATCAAATCTGACTGTACATTGTTGTAGACGATCCAGCACGCGCAGTCATTGTCCCATTACTACTGGCATTAGATCCAGGTCCCCTCAAGGACCAGTTCTTTTCCTCCGAGTCGCTGGTATACGAGTCTGACGAGCAGCTCTCACCAAAACCTTTGTCAATGAGCGACGCGGTAGCGGAGCTGAAGCTGTTTCAGAACCGATTGCGGATCGGAGATAGTAGAAGTCTAAGACGACAACCTGGTCACCAAGCGCTGCATCCTGTCATTTGGCTGCTTCTGAGCATGAGGTCGATGTCCAGACTGCTATTGTACGTGTGTGTAGTCGACACTAGTCGTACATTTGCATGCACAATATTTAAAAAAAACATTTTGCGGTCGGATGAAAAAAGACGGTCGGCCGGGTGACCCGAAACAACGAATTAATTCTGGGTGGCCATATTAATAATCTTTATTTCAGGATTACCCAAAGGCTAACGCCTATCGAAGTGTTTTGTCCAGCGCAGGTCATGTGGGAATATTATGCCAAGGTGACGATGTTGTGTTACTTTTTCTGGTAGAGATTGCCCAAGTTTTATTTCGGGTAGTCGTGGTAGGGGTCGGTTAGCATGGCAGAATGGGAGGATGACGGTTTTCGCTTTATTGACTAGCAGGTGCCAGGGCTCTAGCCATTCTGCTGCGGCATCGATGATTCTTCGTAGCGCAGCCTCACACTCAATGTAGTTGCCTGCAATGTCAATCAGTGCGGTGTCGTCCGCGATCTGGCTACACGAGGTTGTAGCATTGTCACAGGCAGTAGGCAGGCAGGCAATGGTGTACGCCAGGAACAGAAGTGGTCCCTGGACAGAGCCCTGGGGCACTCCCGCTGGAGTTGGAATGAAGGTGAGAGTTTATGCCTTCGATCTGCACCCCCTGGCTGGGTCCTGTCAAGTAGGCTTCGAGCCATTTGTGAGCCTTGCCATCGACACCGTAGTGGCTCGGCTTTTCAGCAAGCTTTGATGCCATATATTATGCGATCAAAGGCTTTGCTAGGATCGAAGAACATGCTTCCCCGCATCCCTGGCTGTGGATATCTGGTGGACGATCCGTGCGAGTTGCAGTTTGGTCCCGTTTTGTTTCCTGAAGCCGGATTGGTTGGAGGGTAAGTGCGGTGCTATGTGATTGTACAGACGAGAGTGGACTATTTTTTCTTCTGTTTTTGATATTATACTGAGCAGGGAGATGGGTTTGTAGTTGGTTGGATGGAAGGGGTTGCCCGACTTGTGGATGGGTGTAATAGTGGCGTCTTTCCAATTCTGTGGTATTTCTCCGGTTCGAAAGGACTGTTTGTAGAGACTAGTCAGAAATGGGGAGATTTCCAGTTTCTTTCAGGAGCCGAGTTGGGATGTTATCGAAGCCTGGGCTCTTGTCAGTGTCTAGACTGCTTAGAAGCTTCTCGACCTCTTCCACTGTTGCTGCGATTATATTAAGAGTATGAGTTATGTCAGGGGTAGTGTTGATGTCTGGTGTAGTACAGGCGGTCTTGTCGATGGACTGTTGGCTTTGGGAGATAAAGAACTCGTTGAGAGCTGTTGCCTTCTCCATGGCCGTGGCTGCAAGTGGAGTTGGCTGTGGATAGTGTGGGAATTGTTGGCTTAGGCGCTTTCTTCAGGTGCTGCAGTGGGTGGTTGAGGTTTGTCCCCGTTGACGTTGTTTGCTAGACAAAATCGGACTTAGCCTGTCGCAAAAGAGCGGTTACTCAGTTACGCTGGGCTGTGTAGAGTGTCCAGTCCGAGTCTAAATGCGTCGCCTGGTAGGTGCGGAGCTGTTTGTGCTTTGTTTTGATCTAGCTGAGGAGATCCTTCGTCATCCAGGGACGAGTGGGCATAGTAATTTTTCGAGATTTGCTTCTGGTCACTTGGCAGTGGTGCACGGCTAGTTGCAGTATCTGGTCTTTCCGGAAGTTCCAGAATGAGGTGACTGGCTGAGGGTCAGTGGGCTGTGGATCGTACTGCAGATTGCAGGTTCTGTGGGTGATGTGCTGCTGGGGTCATAGGTTGCCTTGTATGATAATGTGATCAGAGGCACTCATAGGAGGCAGGCTTGTGATGGTGATGTTACTGCGGCTAAAGATAGAGATGGCCAGGACCAGGCACGATGTAGGTGTGTGTTGGCGTAGGTGCGTGGCAAAAGAGACGTGTTGTGTGAGGCCATGAGTCTCGCACAGCCAATGCAAGTCCTCACCTAAGGCATCAGTGGTGTCGCTGGAGTGCCACAAGCAATTCTTTGCATTGAAATCGCCACGGAGAAGTATCTCATCCTGGGGTCTTTCAACTAACTTTATGGCTCTCTCCAGTTGCATAACGAACTCTGCCGGGTCGGACCGTTGGGGGCAGTAGATGGTCCCTACCACAAGGGAGGCTTGGCCGGTTGTTATTCTAATCCAAATACATTCCGCGTTAGTCATGGGAATGGTAATTGTCTCATGTTGGCAGCTGTGTGGTATGTATGTGGCGACTCCTCCACCAAAGATGTCCCGGTCCGCTGTTATGAGTTTGTAGCCATTGATGGCGTACATCCCGTCACTGTCCGATGGGTGGTTTCCTGGAAGCCGATAAACTACAAGTTTTAAGGTATAAAATATTAATAACGCCAAGAGTAGATAAACAAGAGTGTGCAACTCCGGATCTCTTCTGCACAATCTGCAGATACCCCCGCCCACGGCGGAATTTTTTGTTGACGTCACCTTTTTTCAGGGAAACGCGGACTTTGCCGCAGAGCAGTGTGAGAGCACGTGCTGGGCACCGACCTTGTAGTGTAAAGCCCCGCCAAGTGCACAAGGGAAACCTCTCCAAAAGGCTCGCAGCGCGTGCGTCGTCGAAAAGATTACGTCAACAAAACATTCCGCCGTGGGCCAACCCATCCGCGAGTTGCACACACTTGTTTATCTACTCTTGATAACGCTGATAGTGTGTACAGTGAAGGGTGGGATTAGAAACGCGAATACACATTGAAAGACGTTTCGTCTGACAGGAATAAGTTCCACAAAACAGCTCAAATATGTATTAAAAGTAAGTATGAACTCACTCGGATAATGAGCCAGGATAACATGTCAAATAGAAGAAGGAAACACATGGAAACGAGTTATGAAGCAACTATCGACGAATGCAACAATAAGCGGTCTGTACGTGCAACAACAGGTCACAAAACTGACAGGGTACTGAGAGACTTAGCGACCTAAGACCTAGCTCTCACACACGTCCAGTGTGCAAACCAACAGCATTCCAGCTTGGAAGGTTCAAGGCTATGTGATAGGACCAATGAAGGGAAGGTGAGCGCAGCGAAAATGTGCAAAAGCTAAGTCCCAAGGCAGAAAATAATGTTGACCATTACAGGCACATGACAGCAGCACCCCATCCAACTTGGGTGGGTCAGCAATATCAGAGATAAAGAAAGATAAAGAGATAAAGTTATTGCACTTTCTGACTACTTATCAATATAGCTTTTCGGCTGTTTCCTGTTCATGTATAATAATCTTCTCCTTCTTTTACCATGGTTGGCTATCACCCACATCTTTCCGTTTTGGCTGCCATCGGAAGCCATAAGATGTTGAATAAATAGATAAAATCAACTCTAAAATTAATCATCTTGTTACTGGTACAGTCAGTTGCCGTAGTTGCTTCATAACTCATTTCCATGTTATTTCTTCTATTTTAACTAACCTGAAATTATTGCTCTTAATTCTGAATTCTGCTAAATACACCAGAATGCCAATGGCAGGACGTAAATACCACAGGCTATGAGTCAATTACAGACAATGGAACTGTGACCTGTTCTCGGGGCTATGTGGTAGTCCCACGTAACTTCACTCCTTTCTGCCCGGAGGTAAACAACACTTGGACCCTCACTGACTTTTGTGAAGGTTAGTTCAAGGTGCTTCTACATTCGTGATTGTGCTTCATGCTCAAAAGTGTCTGCCACCTATGATTGGAAAGTTAGTTGTATTGTTGTGCAAGTAGCAAATTAAGGTTTTTATCGATAAATCCATAGACTCATGCACTCCAACAATGAATTGTTCATGGACCTGTCACCCATTTTCTTGCTCATAATTAATTTGACACTCTGGCACCAATTGGTGGCATTGCCATTCCAAGTTTCTCCCAATTCAAAAGGAACCAAATGTGCTAAACGGACCACAAAACGCATTGATGTGAGGTGTATCGACTGGATTTTTGTATTTATATCATTATCTCATGGCACATCATGATGACGGCCAGTAAAACTGAGACATGGGTGAAAGCCAACCACAGCAGTAAAACAGATAAAAGAATACAGATTGAATCCAATTTAGATATAATATATATATATCAAACTAGTCAAAATACTCAATCTGCGGACAGCATGCTGTTTCGTTCTTTGTGAACTCATCAGCGCAGCACAGAGGAAATGAGGCCGAGCCTGATAGCAATGGAAATAAACATTTCCAATCAGGCCCGAACGTACTAGTCAAGATATATATGTTGGACTCAGTAGAGCGTCCAGCCCCTATATGATGTCCAACCCCTATATAGAGTCCATTGGTCCAAAATCCACTGTACAGAGTCCAAATTTGGAATCAACTGTGAGCTCAAAGTTTCGATGGACATCACTCCCTGTATAGAGTCCAGCCAATTGGCTTCACCCCTATATAGAGTCCATTGGTCCAAAATCAACTGTACGGAGTCCAAACTTTGAAATCAACTATAAAGAGTCTTTATGTGGACGACACCCCCTGTATAAAGTCCAGCCAATTACGCATCCCCTATCGAGTTCGAAAATAGACATAGGATCTGCTGCAAGCAGTGAATATTAACCAGAAAACGACCTCTCCCTTTAATCCTTTACATCATTCACTTCTCAAGATAAAAAAAATATGTATTGAGGCGCCACTGCAGCCACTTCATTACATGAAAAACCCTACAAACACCATCCTCAAATCAAGTGGTCTCTTCGCAGATGCTGCAAATTAGTGTTGCCAAATTATTGTGCACGCACACACACATGCACACACCCACACAACGCCAAGAAAATACCTAGAAAAAAAACCAAGAATCGAAAGAGAATAATGGAGAGCCCAGGATTAATTATTTGTTTTCAAATTATTGTGCGCGCGCGCACACACACACACACACACACACACACACACACACACACACACACACACACACACACACACACACAAACTTATACAACGCCAAGAAAACACCAAAAAAAGAGTAGAGACACAATACACACCCAACTCCAACAGCCATGCAAACGTCCACCCATTTACATGTAAAGTCAAGAGGGATAACAAATAATTATACGAAACGAATGCATACGGGGACGGGTACACGCACGTTTACATACACGTAGTAGTGTAAGAGAGTAACATAGTGCAGTGGTCAGCATAATACTATCCCATGCTGAGACTGCAATAGCAAGCTTCACCATTGCTCATGGCCATGCAAATGTTCAGCAGCACTCAGTTCCGCAAGCTTCTGAAGATCAGCACACCTGCAACAAATAGATAGCACAAGGATACGCTTATTACCGTAATGATGCATGGGAGCACACAACTACCAAGTTCTCAACAAATGTGATGCTCAATGAAAATCAATCCACTCAAAGACCTGTGAACAGGTGACGGTGGGAACAATAATCTATTAGTAATACGAGGAACAAGATCGTTTGTGCCCACTCAAGACGCACAGACACACCAACATACATGTAGTGTACACAGTGTTTCACTTCACTGCAACTAAATTCAAATGAGATGATTTGAACAATCTGTACAGCGTTGCTGTCAGTCAGTCTTCCCCAAGATGGAAATGCAATGATTTGTTGTCACGAGGCAGTTTCACTGACACAATGTCATGTTCGTGACATCAAAACGGTTACTTCAGGGAATACGAGTATTAGCTTGAGAAGCTTTTTCTTGTCATTGGCATACAAGCAATCCTCCTAGTCCTACTACTACTAGTACACTGGCACTGCGTTTGTGGATCCCATTGTATTTGACATCATACTACAGGAACAGTGTCGTGGAGTTCACATAATTATCACAGGGATAAAAATACATTTCTCATGAAATAAAATAATAATTGATGATAGCTAGACGATCATATACGATTGATGCAAAGTCCTTGCAGTCCTTGAGGACTATTACGAAGTGGTTGATTACTTTTAGGGCATTCATTCAAGCAACATCAAACAAACGCGATACGCTCCTTGAAAATGGAAAAAAATTCAAGCATAACGACAGAACAGCAGACCAATCGAAACGAGTAAAAGCTTCCTTACCTCAGTCATCGTCCTGCCATGTAGTTGGACAGCCTTTTGACACGGTGGTACAGGCAGCTCTTGTCCAGTCAAACAGGGGTATCCTTGTGGCGTCGAACGAAAGAGAGTGTCAGTGTATCTGACTCGTCAGATTGCAACTGTGCTGAACTTTTCTCTTTCTCCGCTTTCTGCTTTCATCCCTCGCGCTGATGAAACCGTTCAAACGTCTTACTGGCAGCAATGGCCAGCCAAACAGGGGATCCTTGTGGCGTCGAACGAAAGAGAGCGTCAGTGTACCTGACTCGTCAGATTTGAACTGTGCTGAACTTTTCTCGTTCTGCAATTTCTGCTTTCATCCCGCGCACTGATGAAACGTCTTCAGAGAACCACAAGACGCTTTCCAGATTTGATTTTGAACGTCTCCTTATCCTCCTTGGTTACCTCGAGACAGATTACTGTCAGCAACTGCACAGCAGAATTGGCAGCCATGGCTGAAGTGAAGAAAGGAATGCGCTGCCACGAGGCAAGCAAAACTGAAAATGTTTTTGTTCTCTTTCGGGCACAACACACAGGACGGCGTGACTGGATAAACTGGACTCCTGGACCATGACTGTGGACTGTGAATAGGGGACTTGTAGAAAAAGTGTACTCCTTATAGGGGATTGCGCGGCAGGATGAAGCTGATCAAAACTGAGTGGACTCCTGGACTCTGTATAGTGGATTTTGGACCAATGGACTCTATATAGGGTGCTGGACATCATATAGTGCATGGACTCTATACTGAGTCCTACATATATATATATACTCAATCTGCGGACAGAACTGTTTCGTCCTTTGTAGACTCGTCAGCGCAGCACAGAGGAATATATATATATATATATACACTGCACGATCAAAGAACGATGATGTATCTCTGGTGAGGACCTGATCGTGCAGTGTGTATTGGCTCTAGTACCCCGTACTATTGAGCACTATTCTCAACGGACGGGATCACCCCAACTCATATATATATATATATATTTATATATATACACTATAACCCCGCTCTGTCTTAGGACATTGAGCACTTTTTGCCGACGCAAGAAATACTTCTATTGTTCTATATATATATATATATATATATATATATTTCGCTCCTGCTCTTGTAGCAGTTGAGCACTCTTGCGTGGGGTAGTGCCTTTGCTGTTTGCGTTATGCAGAGCTCACTGACTTGTCAGTTTGAGCACTCTGGCAAGGTACGTTCGGGCCTGATTGGAAATTTTTATTTCCATTGCTATCAGGTTCGGCCTCATTTTCTCTGTGCTGCGCTGACGAGTTCAAAAAGAACGAAACAGCATGCTGTCCGCAGATTGAGTATTTCGCTCCTGCTCTTGTAGCAGTTGAGCACTCTTGCGTGGGGTAGTGCCTTTGCTGTTTGCGTTATGCAGAGCTCACTGACTTGTCAGTTTGAGCACTCTGGCAAGGTACGTTCGGGCCTGATTGGAAATTTTTATTTCCATTGCTATCAGGTTCGGCCTCATTTTCTCTGTGCTGCGCTGACGAGTTCAAAAAGAACGAAACAGCATGCTGTCCGCAGATTGAGTATTTCGCTCCTGCTCTTGTAGCAGTTGAGCACTCTTGCGTGGGGTAGTGCCTTTGCTGTTTGCGTTATGCAGAGCTCACTGACTTGTCAGTTTGAGCACTCTGGCAAGGTACGTTCGGGCCTGATTGGAAATTTTTATTTCCATTGCTATCAGGTTCGGCCTCATTTTCTCTGTGCTGCGCTGACGAGTTCAAAAAGAACGAAACAGCATGCTGTCCGCAGATTGAGTATTTCGCTCCTGCTCTTGTAGCAGTTGAGCACTCTTGCGTGGGGTAGTGCCTTTGCTGTTTGCGTTATGCAGAGCTCACTGACTTGTCAGTTTGAGCACTCTGGCAAGGTACGTTCGGGCCTGATTGGAAATTTTTATTTCCATTGCTATCAGGTTCGGCCTCATTTTCTCTGTGCTGCGCTGACGAGTTCAAAAAGAACGAAACAGCATGCTGTCCGCAGATTGAGTATTTCGCTCCTGCTCTTGTAGCAGTTGAGCACTCTTGCGTGGGGTAGTGCCTTTGCTGTTTGCGTTATGCAGAGCTCACTGACTTGTCAGTTTGAGCACTCTGGCAAGGTACGTTCGGGCCTGATTGGAAATGTTTATTTCCATTGCTATCAGGTTCGGCCTCATTTTCTCTGTGCTGCGCTGACGAGTTCAAAAAGAACGAAACAGCATGCTGTCCGCAGATTGAGTATATATATATATATATATATATATATATATATACACTCAATCTGCGGACAGCATGCTGTTTCATTCTTTGTGAACTCATCAGCGCAGCACAGAGGAAATGGGGCCGAACCTGATAGCAATGGAAATAAAAAAATTCCAATCAGGCCCGAACGTACCTTGTCAGAGTGCTCAAACTGACAAGTCAGTGAGCTCTGCATATATATATATACTTGAGTATATATACTCAATATATATATACTGGATGCCTGTACTACAGCAGAGCCAGTATGCGCTATTTGGCTAAGTCACACCTGAATACTTGCTCAGCTGGTATCTAGTGCTGTGCCGGCATTTGGCGATGAGGTCACACCTTGTG